GATTCACTTTATCTTTTGGTAATATTATTTTGTGATTTAATTTGATTTTAAATTTCAATTTTATTTAAAAAGCATATACCTCTTATCTTTTAATAGGAAATGGTTATAATCATGAATTTGAAAGTGATATTCTACTACTTGATATTAGCAATAATGATGAATATGAATGGACGACAGATCATCAATACCGATACAAATAGATACACCTACCACGCCAAAATATTCAGATAATAAATTTCCTTTAATTGGCGCGATTATAGGCTTAGCTGGTATCAGTTTATTACTTCTTTGTGCTTTCTTTTTATATAAATGGAAACGCAAACGAGTCAAAGGATACATTCTTAAATTTAAATTTATTTTGACATCATCTTTGAAAATAGATATTTCCATATGTATTGACTTAACCGATATTCTTTTTTTCCTGTTTTTATGTGTGCTTTATTAATGCTGTGATTTCATTAACTTCCTTACCACAAGTTATCTAGTTATTACTAAGGCTACGGGTAAAACCTTAGGTTTCGACAGTACCGTCGAAATTTAATAGTCTAATCACATATCGAGTTTTCTAAGTAAATCGTCTGAAATCAAAGCGATTGTATTTTAACATGACAAAGTATTTCAAATTCATATTTGCAAGATTATAGATCATATCAAATCAAAAAAAAAAAAACAGTAAATAAGTTTAACAATTAGTTCTCGTAAAAACAACTTGAAATTTACAGCTTTATATTAAAACGTGTTACATTTCTGTATATAAGATTTTGATGACGATCCTCTATTTTTCTAGAAAAAAAGACAGAAACGTGAAAACTATTTACTATAAATCAACTTTCCAATATTATTAAAAAAAAAAGATGGTATTATTTACTTTATTAAATGTAATATTAAATATTTAAATTGCATTATATTTCAATTGGATATTGTATCACAATTACTTACATTTAATTTGCATTATTTATATATAAAAATCTTTTATTTTATATTGATTCTACATGTAAAAAAAAGAAAAGTTTATTGAATAAAGAAAAAATGAAAAAGAAAATATAACAATGCAGACTGATGATACTTTTAACAATTATATACATCAAGTATAAAAACGTTGTAATAGCTTATAAAATAGTATATATTTAATAATATTAGCAAAGTAGTACTTTAAAAAGAAGATAAATTGATAAAAGTTAATCTTTAATATAAAATTCTTCAACTTAGCACTTTACAACATCTCATAATATATCAATTTTTGATAAATTATTTAATGAAAAATTTTGACATTTGATCTCATGATAATATAACAACATTTAAAAAACTTCTATCATTTAATTTTGTAATGATTTACTTTATAAATTTTATAAAAAAGAAACTGTATAGCTAAATAAAAGATATTTAATTAGTGTTCTTTTATTTGCAGAATTATTAATTAGTATATTATTTGAATTTTCATCTTAGTAAATTAAAAAAACATTATTTGAAATTATTGACAATTATTATCAAACTTCTTATATATATATCTAAAAATTATTATAATTTTTATTATAATACTATAAAATATAAAAAAATAGATATCATGAGAAAACTTAAACTTTTATTAAAACTTTGATTTTATCTATTCAATAATTTTAAATATATTACAAAAAAAGTAATTAAAGAGATTTAAGATTTAATAAAAATGATTAAAGAATATGTTAACTATTTTTAAAGTATGATTTATAGAATATGAACTTTATATACTAATGTAATTTTTATAAAAATAAATATAATAATATTATAATTGAGAATATTAAAGCAATTGATTAGTATAACTTTTTTATAAATCTAATAATTATTATCTTTTAAATATAAATTATTTACTTTTTTTAAATCACAAAATATATACATTTTTATTTAAAATATAAATGTTAATATATTCTTTATATTATATTATTATAATCATAACAATTACCTTGATATTTTAATTTTATATAAAATTTATTATTTAAATAAATATGATAAAATAAAAAGTATAATATTTTTGTAAACATATAATCAAAATCTCAATTTTTTATATAAAATGCAAAAAAAAATACAATAAATAAGATTTTTTTTTTTATTATTTATATTTAAATAATTTTTTTGAAAATAATATAAATATTATAATTAATTTTTTATTACTTTTGAAAATATTTCTATATAACTTTTTAATAGTATTTTTTAATAGTTTAAATATAATTCAAGTACTTATTAAGATTTAAGAGAAAATTTATTAATATCAAATAATAAAATTAATAAGAAAATATATAAATAAATAAAATTGATACTAGATTTTGATACTATTATAAATTTTTATAAAATTATTAGTAAAAAAGATATAAAATTTATATTTATATAATATATTATTTATATTAAAATTGTTTCAAATTTTAAAAAGTTATATCTTTAATATATAATCAATAATGTATATTAATTTTATATGCTAATTGTTTTTTTAATTAAAGATCTGATATAGTTATAAATATAATTTCATTTAAACAATATTAAAATATCTTTAATAAAATAAATATAATTATAATTTTAATCTAAAATAAAATTATTAAAAATTATTATATAGATAAATTTCAAATTTGTTTAAAATTTCTTACTTTTTTTAATAAAAAAATTTAAATAAAAAATTTATATATTCAGTCAGAACTTATTATAATAAACTTTTAATATAATAATCATTTAATAAATTTTTTTTTTTTATATGTTTTGTATTAAAGAATTTTGATAAAATAATTTTTTCAAAAATTTTTATAATAAACTGAGAAATTGTTATATTAAAGTCTAAATATATATTATTCTTTATTATTTTTGTATTATTTAGAAAAATTAATGAATTATTTTTTTTTTATAAAAAAAAAACTTTGTAAATTAAATATTTCATATTTTGTATTTTTACATTTCTATTTATTAATTTTGAATTTTAAAAATTTTAGAATCAAAAGTTTGGATTTTATTTATATTGTAATAAAAGATTTAGTTAGATTTATTGATTGCTAATTATTATTTATTAAATTTAAATATAGTAAAAAGTATTTTCTTTTTCTAAATTAATATAAAATAATTTATTAGCTAAGAATTAATCAATTAAACAAAAATTTTTTTACAAAAAATTTTGATTATTAATTAAATGTTATTAGTAAATTTTAAATTATATATAATTAATTTTAAGATATAAACATTTTAATTTTTAAATAAATTTAAATTAATATAAATTTACCAATTCAATTAGCTTAATCAATAAATATTTCAAATAAAATAAATAAAATCAAATGTTTTAAATTATTTTATATTTAATATTTGAAAATATAAAAAGATTTTAAAATAAAATAGTTTTAATTTTTAATAAATATTATAGCATATTTTGAAGATTTTTCAGATTTATATTACTTAATTTTCAGATTATAATCTCTTTATATTTTTAAATATTTTAAAAAATATTTTTTTTTAACCATAATTATAAATAGTATCTCTTAAATAATTTTATATTTTGCTAATTGCAATATTATTAAAATTATATAACTTATATTTAACTAAAATTTAAGATTAGGTAAAGACTAATCTTAATTTAATAATCCTAAGAAAATTATCAATATCAAAGTTATTTAAGAATTATTTTTATAACAAAAGATATTTATAATATATATAAAATAATTAGATTTTTTTATAACTAGAAATTTTAATATTTATTAAAATCATTTGATCTATTTATTAAAATTTTAATTATAACTAAAGTTGCTTGTTTAAACTTATTTTAGATTTGACAAAACATTTAAACTTTAGTTTTACTAATTTTTATTAAGATTTTGATATAATTTCATATTTTTATAAGTAGATTTTAAATAAGATTTTAATATAATTTCATTAAATTTTACTTTTTCTATTTTAAAGAATTGTAAAACCTTTAGATTTTGTTTAGCAACCTTAATTATAACATTTAAAATTATATTTTTTTATATTTTACTTAAGCTATATTGATTTTAACTTTAATCAAAATTAATAATTTTTTAGAATTATGATTTTTAGTTTAGAATTAGATTTAATTACAAAATTTTTGCTAATTTTGATCAAAATTGAAGTATTAATTTAAAATTAAAATGAATAGTTAATTTATAATTACAATATAGACAATTTGCAATAATTTCTTAAAATTAGTTTTTTTACAACATAAAAAAAGATTTTTTATTTTATATTTATTTTTATATTTATTTACATTAATATTATATAATAAATAATATATAATATATGAACATTTTGCAATAAAAAGAGAGAAACTACCAAAAAAAATCTTTTAAGTTAATATTAAATCTGAATTTATTTTACTAAAAAATAATATTTGACCTGAATATCTCTTATTAACTCATAAATAATATATAATAAAATGTATTTTTTACAATAACTTAATTAATATTAATATTAGAAATATGATTTACTACTATTAAATTCTTTCTTTTATAAAATGATTCTAATGATATCACAATTATTTAATTCTAATTACTGATTAGTTTAAAACTGAGATATTTAGGATAATAAAATATGAAATCCTATTGTAATATGCAATTCTGATTAGAATAAGATTGCTTGTCTAAATTTATTTTAAATTTGGCAAAATGTATAAACTTTAGTTTTGCTTTATATGATTTATCTTTTCCATAATTTTGCAGATTTTTTAATAAGGTTTTAATATAATTTCGCTAAATTTTATTTTTTTCATTTAGACAACTTGTAAAATTTAAATTTTGTCTAGCAATCTTAAATTAGAATTTATATATGAACTCTATACAAACTCTAATTTGAATTATATAAGAAATTTTTAGAATCTTGCTTAAAATTTTCTTTTTTTCTATTATAAAATACTCATATTATTTAATATTATTACAAAATTTAAGATGCTTCTAATTTAAAGATTTTTTATTATAAAGAAGTATTCTTTAAATTTACTCTTTTAAATAAAATAAATAATTGTATTTTAAAAACAAATTTAACTAATCTTTTTCATACAAATTATTATTAGATTCAATTTTAGTTTTTTTGTTATATGATTCTGTAGATAATTCTTCTAATGCAATTGGTCGTTTATTAACATTTTTTGAATCACTTTCATTTATTTTTGAATTAGAAATTAAGCAGTTTTCTAAAAATATATTTAAATTAAATTAATTGATTTTAAATAAAACAAATTAAAAATAATATAAAAAAATATATATATATATATATACCCAAGTTTTCAGTTAATCCTGTTTTATTATAATTTTTTTCAACAATCAGGCAGCTTTCTATTATAAATTAAAATTAAATAAGATTAATTTATATTTCAAAATTAAAAATATTGTAGAAAGAAAAGAATTACCCATATCTTCAGTTACTCCTGTTTTATTATAAATTTTTTCAATTAAACAGCTTTCTATTATAAATTGAAATTAATAAGATTAGTCTTATATTTTAAATATAAAATATTATAAGAAGGAAAGAATTACCCATGTCTTCAGTTAATTCTGTTTTATTATAATATTTATCAGTAACTTTGTAGCTTCCTAAAAATAAATTGAAATTAAGATTAGTCTTATATTTCAAAGATAAATATTGTAAGGAAGGAAAGTTTACCAAAATCTTCTGTTAATTCTGTTTCATTATTATCACTGATTGGACTATTTCTTTCCAATTCTGAAATACATGATACCCTACAACTTTCTAAAACATTGAAATAATTAAAATTAGTTTATAGATAAAGTTGAAATATAAAAGAAGAAAAAAGACAATGTTAAATAAAAACGTTACCAAATTCTTTAGTTAATCCCGTTTTATTAGAAGATAATTCTTCTTGATTTAAAATTTCATTTAATTTTACAGTATAGTCAAATATCCTGCTTTTATAACAAGATAATGGATGATTAATAACAGCCGGTTCGTCCTCTGACATAAAAATTAATATGTTTAGTTGATTATTAGTTAATAAGAACAAATTAATGATGAATATTATTTACCTGATACAGGAATTCGAACATATTTAGATTTATAATATACATTATACCATTTACTAAAATAATTATTTAACTCTTTGGCAGTTGGTCTTTTATTGGGATCATGATTCCAACATTTTTTCATTAATTCTACATATTCAGACATAGTGCCTTCAATAATTTTTGGTCTTAATCCTCGACAAATACTTAAAGCAAGTTTAAAATCATGAGGCATATTATTAAAAGCGGGAATACCAGAAGTCATTTCCCACATTATGATACCAAAGGAGTATATATCAGCGGCTATTGTATATGATTCTCCACGCAATACTTCAGGTGCAATAAAAGGAAGCACCCCATAAATTTCATTCGAATTATTAGGTTTATCAGCCGGTCTACTCAATCCAAAATCACTAATATACATACTCTTTTGGTCCCATAAAAGTAAATTACCACTATGGAAGTCGCCATGAACCAAACCGTAATCATGCAGTGCTGAAAGTGATCTTGCTACAAAATATAGATTTCTATACTTGTCATTTGGATTATATTTTTTAATCATTAAATTAGATCTCAAGTTGCCATTTTTTATTTCTTCTAATACAATCATGTAATTTAATGTTTTGGGGTCTCGAGTTATTCCAAATAAAAAAATGCTTGCTTTATCCGCTAAACAAATAAATTTTAAATACTTTTTCCACTAAAGAAACAAAGTCGGTGTTAAAAAAAAAAAAAATTGAAATGCATCAATTTGCATTTCTAATAAAAAAAAACAAAATATTAATAGAATTTACCTCAATTAAAAAATCTTCATGAATATTTGAGGAATTATTCAGACTTTTTAACACAACGTACAATCCATTTTTGTCACTTTCGTCAAGAGGGGATCGAATTTTATCGTTCTTTGCATTTTTATAATCTTTATCTTTAAGTGAAATAAAATTTCTTTTCCACTGATTGTTTTCGCTATCATATTTTTTAATGTATCCATCCAACCAAATAGCTTTGTAAACGGTACTGAAGCCACCTTCAGCAAGATATTGTATATTCCTCAAATGATCATAAGGAATCCATTCTATAACTTCCCTATAATTTCTTGCTTTTAATTGAGCATCTTGAATAAATTTATCTATATGCGTGTTTCCACTAGTCCAATTACCGAATTCTTTTTGAAATCTTTTAAGACTGCAATTTTGACACCAATAATTATCAACTCTTTGTTCATTGCAATCAGAACATAGTCCGTTTATAGTATTTTCAATATTTTCAGACATAATTTAAATTATTCTAAACTATATATATATATGTATATATATTGATATATATTTTTATTTTTAAAAAATAATAATAATGATCATGTTGTGGGAAATATTTTATTGAGTGGTATTTAAAGATAAATACAGTAATACATTACGTACTTGAGTAACAATATTTTTCTGTCACAGGTTAAATATATGCGTAGGTTTATTTTTTAAATTTGGCCGATCTTTATTTAGTATTTAAAAATAACCTACGATCTACTAGTTAATAACAACGATAAGAATTGCGTATTTAATGAAAAAAAAAGCAACTTTTGAGAATTTTAATGAGTAATTATGAAACGAACATCATACAATACTAATATGAAACATAAATACTTCTTCGTATTATCAACGAAGTACAAACCCTTACCAAAAGTATTTAGTATAACATTTACTCTTAATGCGACCGTCTGTTATCAAAGTATTACTATATTTCATGTGAATGTGAATGTAAAAAATATATTACAAGAAAAAAAATAGAAGCTGATTATTTTGGAGTTTACACAACCTTTACAAAGTGAAAAGAGATAAAGTATAATTCTATAATAACCCGTCTATTATACTAAGCACGTACGTTTAATTTTGATGGTGACAAATGTTTTATGCAAATTATTATCTTCACGTGATATGTAAAGTTTTTTTTTAAAAAAAAATTCAATAATTTGTTTATCATTCGAAGATATAAAAAAAGTTAAAAAGAGGTGTTGTTATTAAGATATATTTTTTTTTTGAAATTTATATAAAAATATTAAAATTTATATTGTTGAAAATAAATCATTCTAATTTAAAAGCTGATAATATAAAGAATCTATTTAAACTATAAAATATTGTATTAATGCCTATTAACCTTATTCAAAGAATATTTAATTCTTTATTCTCACAAGGTAACCCGTCTGTTATTAGTAAGCCGAATGCTTATCCCGTGGAAGCTACAAATAACATTAAAAATACAATTTCTCTGCCACAATTTAATTATCTAGTTATAAAAAATTTTTTTCTTTCGTCAAAAAAAAAAGTGCAAAAACTTATTATCTTTTAATTTTCACTAAAAATAATAACAACGCAAAGCGAAAATATAAGCTTGTCGGATTTTATATAATTAATTCAATTATTATATCAAAAACCTTGAAGCACTGACTAGATAACATCGCAGTTCATCCGGTTGGCAATATATATCATAATCCAATTTTTTAAAAATCAACCATCTCATTAACAATGTGGGACCTTTGCAATAGAAAAGGGGGAACGGCTGGAAAAAATAAAATGTGTTAATGCTAAATCTGAATATATTTTGACCTAAAATCATATTTGACATAAAAGTAAATTGATTTTTTTTCCGGCAGTTTCCCTTTCTATTGCAAAGGCCCATATGCGCACTTTTGCAAAAAAAAAATTTTTTTAAGTTAATGTTAGCTCTGGTCTTATTTAACTAAAAAAAAAAAAGATATTTAGCATACAAAGTAAATTATTTTTTGGTTCTCTTTTTACTGCAAAGTACTCATAATAAATAATTAAAAAAAAATGAAAACGACTATTAATTAAAATTAAAAATATTTGAAAAGTAAAGTAAATTATTAATAAAAGAATTGATTACAAAAAGAAAACATTAAATAATATCAAAAGTAAAATGAATTATAAATAAGATATTATATTACATCTTTTGAAAAATTTTATAAATCTTCAATGTTATTCTTATTTGAATATCAAAATGAGATTGGGATAGTTATTGTATTTTACAATACAGAAAGCTATTGTATATAAGCATTACAAATAAAATCACATTACAGATCATATATTTTATTATTGATTTTATTCTAATATATTTGAATAATAGAAAAACAGAAACTCTTGTTTAAGTCTAAAGTATAATTTTTATATTGATCATGTGACATAAATTGATTTTTCATTTTTAGTTCCTTCTTCTTTAATAAATCATATATTTCATTTGCTTTTCTAGCATTTTCTTTTTCTGAATCTGAAATTATTAATAAAGTCTATATGATATTAGAAAAAATTATATTTATATAGTATATATCTTATTACAAATAACACAAAATAATAAATAAAATGTAATCAGATATATATATAGTTAAAATATTTTATGATAAATCAAATTTTTAGATTAAAAATAAATATATTTTATCAACCAATAATATAATTCTAAGTTTAGACTTATAAAGCACATTTTTAATTAAATTTATAAAAGTTTATTATAAATCATATATACAGTATATAGTTAATATATCTGATATAAATTTTTAAAACAATCTTTTTCATTTTTTATATTAATAAAATTTATAATAAATATCATATCAAATATTTTTGAAATTATTAATAATTTTGGATTTTTAAAAAAAAGAATCAAATAAGCTTCAAGTTTATTTTATTATATATAGTAAGAAAAGAATAATATTTTATTCTGCATTTACAAGTTCTTATAAAATAAATAAAGATAAACTACATCTTTTAAAAAAATTTCTGATGACTATAACTGTTAATATATTAAAATATTAACTATTATACTATTTGTGATATAATAATTAAAAACCTTTTTCTTTATCATGTATTGTAAATTTAACTAAATATTAAAATAAGCTTTTGTATTATCAACTAGAGTTTCAGATGAGTCAAGTTAACTCACAAGTCAGATAAGCCGAGTTGAGTTTAAATTAAGTTAAGTTTATGTTTTTTTGACTTGATGATTTGTGAATCAAGCCAAATTCAAGTTAAATTAAGTATTTAACTCGACTCAATTTAAACTCGACTTGATTCAAGTTGACTTGAATAATAAAAAAATCGTTCAAGAAGAATGATAACTAATCATTTGACTTGAACAATAAAAGCAATCGTTTAAGAAGAATGATAACTAATCATTCAACTTAAATGATAAAAGCAATCATTCAAGAAGAATGATAACCTAATCGTTCAACTTGAATGATAAAAGCAATCGTTCAAGAAAATGATAACCTAATTGTTTAACTTAAATAATAAAAGCAATTGTTTAAGAAGAATGATAACTAATTGTTTGACTTAAATGATAAAAGCAATTATTCAAGAAGAACAATAACTAATCGTTCAAGAAAAATGATAACCTAATCGTTCAACTTGAATGATAAAAGTAATCATTCAAGAAGAATGATAACTAATCATTCAAGAAGAATGATAACTAATCGTTCAAGAAGAATGATAACCTAATCATTTGACTTGAATGATAAAAGCAATCGTTCAAGAAGAATGATAACTAATCATTTAACTTAAATAATAAAAGCAATCATTCAAGAAGAATAATAACTAATCATTTGACTTGAATGATAAAAGCAATCATTCAAGAAGAACAATAACCTAATCATTCAAGAAAAATGATAACCTAATCGTTCAACTTGAATGATAAAAGCAATCATTCAAGAAGAATGATAACTAATCGTTCAAGAAGAATGATAACCTAATCATTCGACTTGAATGATAAAAGCAATTGTTCAAGAAGAATAATAACCTAATCATTTGACTTAAATGATAAAAGCAATCATTCAAGAAGAATGATAACCTAATTATTCGACTTGAATGATGAAAGCAATCATTCAAGAAGAATGATAACTAATCATTTAAGAAGAATGATAATTAATCGTTTAAAAAGAATGATAACTAATCGTTTGACTTAA